GTTGAGCTTCTCCAGGAGGCTGACTCTGTTGAATCACTGCATTTTCAGAGCAGACAGGACTGGGGCCTTCTTGCTCTAGCACAGGAAGCCTACAGACCACCTCCCTTTGACACTCTAGAGAGCATATTCATTATCCCTCCTGGGTGCCCGTGATCTGTTGTATCCCCATGACAAGTCTATCCCCAGAATCAGCTCACTCCAAAGTTACAAGCTTGGGGCTTGTCACCTTTGATCTGGTGTTCAGCAGTATATCCAGGTCTGGATGTTCTGCAGGGTCTGAAGAAGGCAGCCAGATCTTTAGGTTCTGTAAGAGACAGGGTCTGAATACTGGAAGTACTTAGATTGGTGAAAAAATGGAATAACTCACAGGCCAAAGAAGAAGTCAGTGGATACCAGGAGATGCTCAGAAACAAATAGAAAGGAGACTGTGATCCTCCAAGAGCCCATGGGATGCTACTAAAGCAGAGCCTTAGGGACTGTAACCTATAGTGCTTAGGATATGCAGAAGAAAGGTTGGATTTTAGTGGGTGAGCATTCTCTCTTAAGAAAGAACTAAGTGGACAGTGAAAGCCAACACTGAAGGTGGGGACTGAGCTGAGGGATGGAAGGGGCAGAGGACAGTAGGTCTAAGGATTTGAGAGGTGACAAAGGGTCTACACTACCTGGAATTAAGTGATTAGAATCCACCCTTTCAGAGCCTCCTTCAGCCCTGGTATTGTGGGATTGCTGGCTTTCCTTCAGCAATCGAATTTTCTACTTAGTGTAGGTAGCATGTCCAGCTAGCATGCCCCCTGCCCCCTGCCCCCTACCCCCTAACCCCCTGGCACCCAGTCCATGTCAACCTCTATCATTGGTTGGTGGTTGGAAACTGAAAAACATTGCAGAGTAAAACAAATGCAAGTTGAAGGACTAAACCCGTGTATCAGTCGGCTTTCATCGCTGTGGTGAAACGAAACCCGTGTATCAGTCGGCTTTCATTGCTGTGGTGAAACGAAACCTGTGTATCAGTCGGCTTTCATCGCTGTGGTGAAACGTTGACCGAAAGCAACTTGGTGAAGAGAGGGTTTTTCTGGCTTACAGCTCCGATCACGGTTCATCCTTGAGGAAAGCCAGACGAGGAACTCAGGGCAGAAATCTGGGGGCAGGAACCGAAGCAGAGACTATGGAGGCCTGTGCTCAGCCTGCTTTCTTTTGTTTGTTGAGATAGGATCTCTCTGTAGCTCCAGCTGACCTGGAACTTGCTATGTAGACTAGGCTGGCCTTGATCTCATTGGGATCTGCTCACTTGTGGGAGAAAGCTAAAGTGTGGTGTCCTAGTACTCCTTCCAGAGTGCTGGGATTAAAAGTGTGTGCCACCATGCCTGACTCAGCCTGCTTTCTTATACAACCCCTGCCTAGGGGTGGTACCATCCACAGTGGGCTGGGCCCTCCTACATTACTCAACAATCAAGAATCTCACAGGCATGCCACAGGTAAATCTGGCAGAGGAAATTTCCCAGTTGAGGGTCTCTTTTACAATGGAAGCTGTGCAGCACAGTCCGCAAAGCACCCATTGCTAAGATTTCCTGAGTGTGCATCAGGTGTGTACTAGACACCATACTCACCTTTCCCCCAGCAGCTCATTTAAACCTGCTAAATCCTTCCAGTGGACTGTGGGAGTGTGGGTGCGGGGTTGAGAATGAAGGGGAGGGCCATCTAGAAACTGAGTCCAGCTCCGGTTTCCCCAAAAACGTATGTGATGTGAGGGTTTTGTGAAGTTTTGTTCAGTTAAGCCTGACAGTTTTTGGGAAACCTAGGCTGGCAATACCAGCTGCGATACCAGCTGTCCATGTGACTCATGCAGCTGGTAAACCAACAGGGCTGAGGTGTCAGACTGAGCTCAGAATTGCTTGCTTCTATCATAGTATCAACTTAAACATTTTAAGTTAGAAATGTACTGTTCTTACAAAAGAACACATACCTTTCCTATGCCTAGGATAAACACTTCCCCACATCCAGGTTAAGAAACAGAACGCCACCTGTACCCCAGTCCTTCAGATGCGATCACTAGAGGTGACAGTGTCTCCACTGTGTTAATCATTCTTTGCTTTTCTTTATGGTTGTAGCACTTTTTGCAATAAATTCCCAAACAATATATTACTTTTGAAAAACTGAGCAGCAAGCTAAACAGCTGTGTCAGGAAAGGGCTGTGGCAGTGTTACCTTTTCTTCTCAGATGGAGGCTCCCAGGTCAAGGTAACTTTACAGGGTCTGGGGACATGGCCTTACTTCCTCTTCCTTGGGAGTCTATGAGAGATTTTCCAGGAGGTCAATGGACAAGATCATGGATGAGTCTGGGGGGAAATCCTGAGCTCATCTGGAATATCTGGTAGGGCTGGTGTGAGGCAAGTGCCAGGGATCACTGGGGTGTGGTTAAACGAAGTGGGCTGTGCTGTATACTTACTTGGTTATGAGTTCACTAGAGCCCACTCTCACTCTCAAGAGTAGGTCAAGGGTGAGCATTTCTGCGAGTGAAGCCAATGTCCTCAGCTGACGTAGACAAGCAGGAGGTAAGAAGGAATAGTATGAGTTCATTGTGAGGGCAAGACAAATATAGGTAAGTATTAGGGACCTCTAGGTGATAACTGCTTTTAGCACGCATTAGTCTCCAGCCACTGCTCCAGTCTATGGAATGGTGGCCCTCTGCTTACATTACACCACCATTATCCTGTCATCCCCTGTTGAGTGGCCTATGTCCTGAGTCTGTTGCTCCTTAGTTTACTCTGTTTGGGTAGATCATATATCCATTCGTTTTTTAGATGGAGGTTATAGGAGTTGAATTTCTTGACTGTGTAAAACTTCTCTTGTACTTGATTGACAGTTTGATTAGGTATAAAATTCTGGTTGTTCACACCTGTAATCCCAAGCTCTGGGGAGACTGAGGCAGGATTGAATGCCCTGCTTTGGATGAATAGTGAATTTAAGGCCAGTCTGGACAACTTGGTGAAACCCTGACTCAAAGTAAACATAAAAAGGGTTCTGGAGAGACACCTCAGTGGTAGAGAGCTAACGTGTGCTGTCCTGTGTTTTATCCCCAGCACTGCACATACATGAATATTCTGGCCATCATTTTCTTTCACAATTTTGAATATTCCTTTATTATCTTCCCTTTTTAGTGTTATAACTAAGAATTCTAAGCTCATTTTACATCTCTTTCTGAAAGCTGGCAAAAGATTTTTTCAGTCCTCACTGTTCTAAACTTTCATAGATGTCTACCTTGGGTACTGGACATTCAGGAGGCCCTCTGGATCCAGGAGCTCGTATCTTTGTGTTTTGGGAAATTTGTTTGATAAGTCTGTTGATTTTTTTCTGTTTTATCTCTCTTCTCTTTCCCTGGAATCAATTTCTGGACCAATCCTCTAGTTTTCTATCTTTGTATCTTTTTGTGCTGTTTTGTTGTTTTTGAGACAGGGTCTCACACTGTAGCACAGGCTGGCTTGAAACTCTTACCAAATCTGGGCTGGCCTCAGATTTGGGGCAATTCTTCTTCCTTAGCTTCCTGAGTCCTGGGATTATAGGCATGAGTCACTATACCCAAGTTTGTGCATGTATTCTCACTTGGAACTCAAAGTTTTCATCTTTGCTCTCATAAGTTTTTTGCAAAAGCTATTTTTACTGTTCCTTTATCATAGCATCTTGATGTTGTTTTAGAGATACTATCTTTTATGTAACCATCATAATATTAATAGTTTGGGTTTTCTTGTTTGCTTGGTTGGCTGGCTTGTTTTATTTAGGCTATATAGATTCCCTTTCCCTGTGCTAAGGATGGAACCCAGGGCTTTGCACTTGCTAGGCAACTGTTGCTTCCTGCATGAACTTTTTAACCTTTGAATTGCTCTCTGTTCCCCACTGATTTGGCTTTGACCTCCCATATTTGGTGCTTTTTTGGGCCTAGGTAGGCCTTGACTGTCTTTCTCATTATTGAAATGACAGACTTTGAAACTTAATGAATGAGCAGGTGAAATCTGTCTACTGTGACTTTCACAATAGGCATTCAGGAAATGTCAGTGTTTCTATCAGTAGAACTTTCCTTCTGGGTTTACCAAGCTTCTTGAATAGAAAGCCTCCTGATTGCAAAGGTCTGGAAATCTGGTGGATGTGTGGTGTGGGTGTGGCAAGGATAGTCCTGGTATTCATTTTGCAAATGGTCATTTGAACCCTTGATTTGAAATGTGGCATCCAATCTTTAGTTGTGTCTGGGTTCTCACAGTTCTGGGAGCCTCTCTTTAACCCTTTTAGAATGCAGATCTCCAGACTGCCATGCAAGCATGGTAGAGACAGCTGCTAGTGTCTTGGAGTAGGAAAGGAAATCTGGTGATCTATGTCATGGACTCTTTGTCTTGGTCCTTGTGTTTGTTGTCTCCTTGTGTTCAAGATGTACTTGAATCTGCCATACCAGAGTGTAGGGTGCACATGATGAACTTTTCAATGGCAACATTCTGGCCTTAGGGTCTGACCTTCAGGATCTTCTAAATCCACTGCCATGCATTCGTCCATCTATCCCATTCAATCACCAAATCCTTTCATACTGCCTCTGTCATTGGGGCTACTTTAGTAAACAAAACGGAAAACCTTGTCCTGGAGATGATCACACCCGAGTGAGGGGCAGACTGTAGCAGAAGGAAGCAAATTAGTGATTGGAAGGTGCCAAGGTGCCATGGAAGTTTAGTAAAGGAATCTGTACATTGAGTGTTCTGCATAAGTGACTTTAGTTTTTCATAAGGTTGTCACAGAGTGCTCATTGAGAGGGTAGAGTATGAGTGAAGACTTGGGGGGGTGAGGGAGTTAGTCAGGTACTCTCGACAGAGGTACAGTCAGAGCAAAGGTCCTAAGGTAGGACCATGCTAGTGTTCATTAAATGGGAACCCAGTACTGAGCAGAGCAAACAAGAGGAAGAGGAGGAGATGCAGTCTGGACAGGGTCACAGGCAGGGATATTTACCTGTTTTGGATCTTGAGAGTTTACCATTGGACTTGGGCCCCTACTCTGTGACACTGTAGCTTGATTGCTTATGCCAGACTAGTGTGGGTTGGCTAACTTTGAAGCATTGTCCTCTAGCTATGGTGCTGGGAGTAGGCTGTAGCACATGGGCAGTGTGGGAGATCAGACCAGCTTTGCAGTTTTGGGGTGAGCCCCAGTGAACCTTGGAGCAGGACAGCAGATGAGCTCCTGGTGAGATATGCCAGGATTCCATAGCCTGTAGATGATGGCTCATGGGTGGCTGTTGAGCACTACAACACAGCTGGGCCACACTGAGAATCTGAGTGCACAGTGGAAGACTTGACAGGAAAGAAAAATGCAACGTTATTTCACTAATGTTTTATGTTGATAACCTGTCAAAATGGCAACAGTTTGGATGTCTTGTGTTAAGTGGAATTTATGGTAAGTATACCATAGATTGTTTCTCACATACCATTGTTGTTTCTCACTTTGAAGAATGCAGCTGTTAGAAAACCTAAGGTGTGTGTGGCTTGTGTTCTAGTCTGTTGGACAGTGTGGTTCTGGTACTTTGAAGGTAGAGGATACAGGATTTGCTGATGTGGTGCAGAGGAGGGACTGCAAGGGTGACTCCAAACCTTTAGTTGTACAACTAGAGGGATGGAGGAGACATGAGCTGAGATGAGGGAGGCTGTAGGCCCAGCATGTGTGTGGGCTTATGAAATATTTGATTGGAGAAGGAAAATGGGCAAATATGAGTGTGAGTTCCAGACTCGGGACAGTTCAGAGTGGAGACCAGAATACGGGGTTCAGCCCGGAGAGTGAGTTTGAGTTCAAGCCATGGGACTTGATGAACCTCACTTCTAAGGATCCACAACTTCCAGAATCATTTTCTCCGTCTTTGTAAGTTGGTATGTTTATGTCTTCATTGATTTTGTGTTGCTTCACTTAGTTTTGGGTATTCATTCTTTTCATGGGTTTTGAGAGGAAGTTAGGTTAGGTATGTGTGTTCATTTTAACATCTAGTAATGTATCACTTTTGTTAAAAGAACCAAGGGTTCTTTTTCTGTTTTTTTCACTGTGATAGAAGAGAGTTGCATGTATAACCGTTTTGCTGGCTGACTATCCTTTATCTTAAATTCTTGACACCAGAAGTATTTTGAGGTTGAGATTTTTTTTAAACTTTGGAAAGTTTGCATAAACATAATGAATATTGTGGTGACTTGGCCCTTGTTGAAACACAGAATTTATTTATTGTTCATATACACATGGCCTAAAGGTAATTTCATATGATATTTAAAATAATTTGGTACATGAAATAAAGTTTCATGGTGTGGACTTTTTCACTTGTGGCATTCTATTGGAACTCAAAAGTTTGGGGTTTCAGAGCATTTTGGATTGGGGGGTCTTCAAATTAGGGATGTTCAACTTGTAACAGCCCCCACCCCCACCCCACACCACTCCTTCATCCATCTTCCTCAAAAAGTAATGACCTTTTCTTCTCCCTAGGCGAGAAGGCTACTTGATCTGGCCACAGTGAAGGCAAATGGACTGGCTGCCTTCCTTCTACAGCACACCCAGGAATTACCAGTCTCCCAGTCCCCACCTTATGAGGGTATGTGTTTGTCCTTTCTCATTAACCAGAAAGGAAAAGGAAGTCAGCACAGATTCCTGGTTAAAGAGCAAACACATGTCAGGTAGCATCCATCTATTGGCATCTTCCCTCAGGCTCAGTTCCTCCATTTTAAGCAACCATCAGAGTCGTTCAACTGTAATGAAAAGTGGAAGTACGGCAACATTCATGGCTCTCCTCCTTTCATTGCTCCCCACACTATGTGGTGCTCACTGGAGCCACTGTTACACGGAGGGCCAACTGTGGTCCGTTTTGCTGTCTAAACTCCTGCCATCTACACCAGAAACAGACAGGGCTTGGCTCTCTGGACCCTTAAAACCTAGCTTCTCGTGATCCAAAACTCATAACTAGGTGGATTTAGAGGGTGGTCTCTTCTGTGTCCATGTTACCAACTCAGAAGTGAAACAGGCCTGGGTACACCAGACAACCTGCATAGACTTTCTTTTTCTTTCTTTTATTTTTTATTTTTTGAAATAGGGTCTCCTGAAGCCCTAGCCGGCCTAGAAGTCTTTTTGTAGACCAGGCTGGCCTCGATCTCACAGAGATCCGCCTGCCTCTGCCTCCCTGGTGCTGGAATTAAAAGGGTGTGCCACCACACCTGACCTCTGCTATACACTTTTATGGATAATCTGCCCTTCATAGCAGCCCTGAGAAGTAGGTGTTGCTGTGTTCCACTTTACATGTGAGGAAACTAAGGTTTGAGTGGCAAAGAACAGGAAGATGGGTCTGACTGGAATGTGCCACCTACCCTGAACTCCTTAGGAGGAGAAATCATCAGTTGCAAAGAGGATGCAAGCCTGATACCCTCTCAGTCTTATTCCCACGGAAAAGGAAGATAACGGGCTGAAGGCTCTGAACTGTGCACCCAGAGCTAAGGAATGGGTTTATCATCCTGGCCTTGCCCTGTGGGCAGGATGGCTGGAAGCTTGTGCTCGGTACCCAGCTGTGCACCATCTCATCTAAGAACAGGACATAGATATTAGTGCACAGTATCTGGCTTGGCCCTTGGTGAGCATTTGCTGCTGATGCCATCAAGCACGGCTGCCATATAGGCATATGCAATGACCTCACACAAGATACGTCTCAGGATGACAGTTGAATAGGTAGACATGGTCACATGCCTGTAATCCCAGCACTTGGGAGATAGAGGCAGGAGATCATCCTCCACTAAAATAGCAAGTTAGGGGCTAACCTGGGCTGTATGAAACCCTGTTTCCAAAAGAAAAAAGTGACAATTGTGTTTATTTTTTTTAAATGAGAGAGGTTTTTTTTTTTTTAAATTTACCCTATTTATTTTAACTTTACATTGTGTGTGTGTGTGTGTGTGTGTGTGTGTGTGTGTGTGTGAGTGTATGTGAGTGTGTGTTTGTAAGCATCATGGTATGTATGTGGAGGTCAGAGGACAACCTGCAGGAGTCAGCTCTCTTCCTCTACCATGTGGGTTCCAGGGATTAAACTGAGGTCATCAAGCTTGGCAACAAGTACTACCCACTGAATTATCTTGCCAGCCTTACGTTCATTTGTTTTGAGGTGTTTATTATTGTTGGCAACAACTGGAAGCCAGCATTATAGTTGGCATTAGAAAGGAAGGTCTGTGTCTTCTGGTGTCTGGACAGTGTTCCTGATATATGCAGAGGGTAGAAAGGGCAACAGTGATCCTAAATTCTAGGAATAAGAGGCATCACATTCTGAGTATGGTGACACAATTGTAATCCCAGCTGTTTGGGAGGCTGAGGCAGAAAGATTATAAGTTCGAGGCCAGTCTGGGCTACAATAGTGAGACCCCATATCAAAAAAAGAAAAAAAGGATACACCAGACACCAGCATAATATAGCATTCCTACTCTCTGTGGCTCTGCTGACACTAACTGTAGCCTAATCATAACCCTAAACCTAATCCCAACCCTAAACCTAAACCTATACATGACCCTAACCCTATGCCTCAGTCTAATCCGAACCCTAAACTTAATGGTAGGCCTAATCCTAACCAAACCTAACACTACACCTAATCCTAAACCTAACCCTAACCCTAACCCTAACCCTAACCCTAACCCTAACCCTAAAGGAACCGTGACCCTAACACTAGGCCTAACACAGGACAGTGAGGCTATGACGCAGTGAAGATGGTGATGTCCAGCCAGCCCAAAACTCTCACCCATACTTCCCTATTTCCTGAAAGGGGAACTAAGCCATGACTGGGAAGTCATTTGCATAGCCTGGGTAATAAAGGACCAGCAGCAGTCCCTTGGCTGTTCCCTCAGTAAGAGAGGATTAGGGGATTTTGTTGATCCCTTGGCCCAGGAACCTTGTGACCTGAGGTCTCCTAAAACTAGTCTCTGACTCCATCCAGTCCATTTAGCCATACAAAGTAACATATTCACAGGTTCCAGGCATGAGATCTGGACATTTTTGGGGGCCACTGCTGTGCCCACTGTACCTACAGTAGAGCCAGCAGCAGTTTTGATTGCTTATCAAGTTTCAGATAGCCTGCTAAACTGCATTTTTCTCTCTGTGACTCCTGAAATGATCTTTTAGGATGGTTGTCCCTCAATTAGCCACTTTCCTTGTGGTGGAACAGAATATCTGACAGAAAAGAACTGGAGGAAGGAAAGATCATTTCAGCTCCCAGTTTAGTAGGACCATCCATTGTGAGAAGGCATGGCGACTGGTGTGGCTTGGCCCAAAGAGTAGGAACATGAGACTCTGGCCACATCACAGGAACAGACAGGAAATAGGGAGCTGGGACAGAAGTAGGCTGGACTATAACCCTGGAGGCCCACTACTGGTGGTCCATGTCTGCCAGCTAAGCCCTGCATCTCAACGGTTCCACACCGTTCCAAAACAGCCTCATCAGTTGGGGACTGAGTACTCAAACACAATGAATCTGCAGGATATCTTTCACATTAAGGACTTAATAATTACCATTTCTACAGACAAGAAGACTGGATTCCAGCAAGGCCAAATGACCCACCCAAACTAAATGGTGGGCTAAGGAGTCTTGTCTTCAAAGTCTGGATTTCTAGGGGCTAGAGAGATGGCTCAGCAACTAAGAGTACTGGCTGCTCTTTCAGAGGACCCAGGTTTGATTCCCAGCACCCACATGATGGCTAATAACCATCTGTAACTCCAGTTCCCAGGGAATCTGATGCCTCTTGTGACCTCTACAAGCATTGCATGGCATGAGTGCACTTCCATACATGCAGGCAGTGCACTCATACACATAAAATAAAAAAGAAAATATAGATTTCTAAGCCCTTTTCTCCTTCTGTTTCCCTTTAAAAAGAGGCAATAGAGGCAGAATGGTGAAGGGACCTGTCTCTGGCACTCAACCAGTGTGGTGGGACAGACAATCAGGATACAGTTCTCTGAGTCAAGCCCTCCATGGCACTTGCAGGTGTACATATTAAGCACAATGGTGGCCGGTGTCTTCCTGTTGGATGCTGTGCTTACCTGGTGACATGTGTCATCTCAGTTTGTCCATGTTGAAGTTCTCTACTATTTTTTCTGCTTTGCATGGGAGAACACATATTTAAGAAGGTTCTCTGGCTGTCCCAAAAGCCCATAGCTTATAAGTGGGTGAGCTAAGATGGATGCCCACTGGCTTTTCTCTCCCAGCTGCACACTGCATCCCCTGTGCAGGCTACACTTTGGTCAGGTCCCCATTGTGACCATGATCCCACCCTCATTTGCCTTTTCTCTGTCTCCCAGCTGCTGAGTGTCAGAAGTTCATAGCCAAGCTGAGGACCACAGTGTTGGCTCAGTCTCACTTCCTTAGTACCTATGATGGGGTGGAGAATCTTTGCCTGGAGGACATATACACTGAGAACATCCTAGAGTTGCAGACAGAAGTGGGCATGGCTAGGGCACCACAGAAGAGCCCTACCACTCTGGGCCTGGAGGAACTCTTTGGCACCCACAGTCACCGTAACAAAGATGCAGACACTGTGCTGGTGGTGGGTGAGGCGGGCAGTGGCAAAAGCACTCTCCTGCAACAGCTGCACTCGCTGTGGGCTACAGGGCGGGACTTCCAGCAATTCCTCTTGGTTTTCCCGTTCAGCTGCCGGCAGCTGCAGTGTGTGGCCAAACCTCTGTCCCTAAGGATGCTGCTCTTCGAGCACTGCTGTTGGCCTGATGTTGGTCAGCACGATGTCTTCCAGTTCCTCCTTGACTACCCTGAACGTGTCCTCTTAACCTTCGATGGCTTGGATGAGTTCAAGTTCAGGTTCACAGACCAGGAGCGCCACTGCTCTCCGACCGATCCCACATCGGTTCAGACTCTACTTTTTAACCTTCTGCAGGGCAACCTGCTGAAGGGTGCCTGCAAGGTGCTGACCAGCCGTCCAGACTCTGTGTCAGCACTCCTCAGGAAGTATGTCCGTACCGAGTACCACCTTAAGGGCTTCTCAGAAGAGGGCATTAAGCTGTACCTGAGGAAGTGCCACTCAGAGCCTGAGGTGGCAGACCGCCTCATCCAACTACTGCAAGCCACCTCAGCTCTGCACGGCTTGTGTCACCTCCCTGTCTTCTCATGGATGGTGTCCAAATGTTACCAGGAACTACTGATGCAGGATGGGGGGTCCCCAGCGACCACCACAGACATGTACCTCCTAATCTTACAGCATTTTCTGCTGCATGATTCCCCTCCAGACTCTGCTTCCTGTGGTCTAGGACCTGGACTCCTTCAAGGCCGGCTGCCAACCCTCCTGCACCTTGGCCGTCTGGCTCTCTGGGGCCTGGCCATGTGCTGCTATGTGTTCTCAGCGCAGCAGCTCCAGACAGCACAGGTTGACTCTGCTGACATTTCTCTTGGCTTCCTGGTATGTGCCCAAAGTGTTGGACCTGGGAATGTGACACCCCTGGAATTCCTGCACATCACTTTCCAGTGCTTTTTTGCCGCATTCTACCTGGCATTCAGTGCAGATACCTCGGCAGCCTCACTCAGACACCTCTTCAACTGCCGCCGTCTGGGAAGTTCATCGTTGGCCAGGCTGCTACCCACACTGTGTGTCCAGGACTCCAGGGACAAAAAGGGCAGTGAAATGGCTCTGCTGCAGAAGGCTGAGCCCCATAACCTGCAGATCACAGCGGCTTTCCTAGCGGGCCTACTGTCCCAGGAACACCGGGACCTGCAGGCCACATGCCAGACCTCTGAGAAGGTGCTGCTGCGACGCAAGATGTGTGTCCGCTGGTGTCTGGCCCGCAGCCTCCGCGAGCACTTCCACTCCATCCCATCTGCTGTGCCTGGCGAGGCCAAGAGCATGCATGCCATGCCCAGCTTCATCTGGCTTATCCGGAGCCTGTATGAGATGCAGGAAGAACAGTTGGCGAGAAAGGCTGTACGGAGGCTGGATGTTGGGCACCTGAAGTTGACATTTTGCAATGTGGGCCCTGCAGAGTGCGCTGCCCTCGCCTTTGTACTGAGACACCTCCGGCGGCCTGTGGCCCTGCAGCTGGATCACAACTCTGTGGGAGATGTTGGCGTGGAACAGCTGCTGCCCTGTCTTGATGTCTGCACGGCTGTATAGTGAGTGTGATTGAGCCTTACTGGTTGGGCACCTGGCAGATGCCACTGTCAAGGTTACATGGGGGAGTCTGACACTTGTTTGGGATCCATAAGTCTGCACCTAGTGCCAGGTCTGCCATCCTGTGTACAGCACAGGCCAGACCCCTTCCCATTCCGCATCTCAGTACAGATTACAGAAGCTGTACTTGAATGTTTTGTGCTAGGTACAAGAACTGTCTCATCTCATCTCCACAAACACTCTGGATTCAACAGATGTTAGCATCCCCATGATCCTTTCCTTGAGGCTCAGAGGAATGAAATAACTTTTTGAGTCACTCTGAACAGCGAGGGAGGTTTTCAGAAACCACCTTTCTGATTCTAAGTTTCTTGAGCCCTATCTGTGGATGCACTTTTGACACTCCAGGAAAACCTTGAGGTCCTGTGCAATGTTTTGGGTTTTGTTTGTTTGTTTGTCTTGTTTGTATTAGGGATTATTTCAAATCAAAGGTGACTTGAACCCAACCCAAGTCTTTAAAACCCCACCAAAATGGGAATTTCTAGACTCTTGAGATAAGTGGTTGGAGAATTTCACCTTTTTGGCATTACCCATGCTGCTTTTGGCCCTATGACTGAAATGTGAGGCTCTGGTCTGTGACATCTGTGCCCTTGAATGTGTGGGCCTCTTCCCATGTCTTGGAGTAGGCAAAGGCAGAGGACATGCCCAGGCCTGGTGATCAGCATGCCCCCAGCTCCCAACTTCCTGTCTTGAAAGGGGATGTCCGTCTATTTATTTAGAACCTAAGAGAGCAGAAGTTGTAGATTGTAGTTAAGATCTAGTCACAGCCTCCTGGGGCTTTAGGACTCCTTGAAGATAACCTTAATTGATCTTAGGACAAGACTTCTGCATGTATTATGACTGTGTATCTTCTCTGAGGGAAAGATGAAAACACAGATACTTGCTTGAAACTGTGTGGTGACTTAGCAAACTCTTACACAGGGATCATGGTGATCAGTAGACAACATAATATGATATATACTATGTAGAGTTAATATATCTATATTATATATAATACATATACACTGGAAATATGAATAGTTCCATCAGGGTCTTGAGGAAACATGTAGCACTTGAGTTGGGCAGTAGGAGGACAGTCCATGAAGGGGACTGTCTCCAGAGGGATGCATAGGAATTAGGAAGGACACAGAGGATGGCGCAGAGCTTGGGACTCATACAGTTGGGGTGGCCCAAAGGAGGATTTACTAGTTAAAAGGAGAGCCTGAAGAGAGTTTTCTGGAAGGACTGGATCTGGGGGAAGAAAGCCTGCCCTTCCATCCTGTCCCCTTGCCTCTTGACGGTCCCCTCTCCTAGCTAGCTAAACCCAGCAGGGAGGCCTAGCAGGCCTGGTGTTGTCTTGGAGTATCTGCCTCCCGGGGGACCAAGAACCAAGAGAGGGAGCATGGATCTGGCCAGAAAAATGAGTGATCAGAGACTGATGGTACCTTGACTGGGAATTTGGAGACTTGAGTATTGAAGCTGCTTGATGGAGGTATGAGTGTGCATTTTCTTGGCTCCTAGGCCTGTACTTTTTAATCATGACCCTCAAAAGACAAACACACTGGCATGAATGATCCTCATAGAACTATTTATTATTTATTTATTTATTTATTTGTGTTTTTGAGACAGTCTCAGCTAGTCCAGGGTGATCTCAAACTTATGATCCCTCTGCCTCTACCTCTTCAGTACTAGAGTTATAGGTATGCTCTACAAAGCTTCCTTCTTTTTCAGTGGTCCTCTCTCCTCTCTTAGGAATGTCCATATGATCCTTCTGTGGAGTGCTCAGGGGTCTTGGGGTCAGGGAGGCTGTGGATCTGTCTGTTTTCAGAGAAACGGAGGGCTGACCTGGTTCTTGTTCATGGTAGTCAGAGAGTAGTGTGCAAAGATCCTTGTTGAATTACAGATTCCTGGACTGTTGATTCCTGTTTGGTAGAATTAGGATGGGAGTCTGGAAATCTCTGTATCTAGCAAGCATCACTGGTGACTTGGATGCAGGCAGTCTCACACTGAGAATTACTGTTCTGTAGGAATCAACTTGATTGTCCACAAGCAGTTACCGTGGTTTGGATGAGTGTCCATCAACATCCATGTGCTAGAAGCTTGTGCGCTATTAGGAAGTATGGCCATTAAGAGGTTAGGCCTTGTGGGAAGTCTGTAGGTCATTGGATGTGAGCCCTTGGAAGGAATTATGGGCACCCTGCCTTTCTCCTGCCCTTTGCTCCCTGGCTGGGGATGTAAGGTATTTTCCTTCCCCACATTCTTGATGTGGTGCTTCTCTCCAGGCCTCAAATTAATGAGGCCAACTGATAATGGACCAATACCTCTAAGAGTATGTGTCAAAATGATCCTTTTCTCTTCATAAGTTAATTACTTCAGGGATTTCCTAATAGCGAGAGAAAGCTGATTACTACAGTAGTTAAAGCTCTTGACCAAGTTCTACCATTCTTAACCTACACACAGCCAGCAAGTTGCTGGTTTTGTGTGTGTGTGTGTGTGTGTGTGTGTGTGTGTGTGTGTTAACACAGACACAGATGGAGGAAGGAAAGTGGAAGGGAGGAAGGGGGCAGGCTTCTCTCCCACAGTAGGAGGCTGCATCTCTCCCACTCAAAGGGTTTCCATGCCAACTGAAATCCTTGCCTCTAGGAAACCCCACATGCAAAGCTGTCCTATGCAGGTTTCTTTAGATCCTGCTCTCTCTGCCTCTAGGATGATGGGTTTCAGTTTTCTGACATACAGGCATGTGAAATTGAAACAAGAGCTTTGCGAAATGACTTCCTGTATCAGCTCTGACACATTCTGATTTCTTCTGTCCTTTTTTTTTTAACATGCTCCTCGGACCTTCAAAATTAGCTCAGAAAGGCCACAGGTAGACTGCATGAGGTTGTGGTTCAAGGCAGATCAGCAGCCCAACTTGCTATCAAAACTTTCAGCGCTGTGCAGTCTTAGCGCAATCACTTCACGGTCTGTGCCTGATTCCATCTCTTGGGGACATATTAGTAGTACTTCCTGCATTGGTTTGGGATGAAGCTGATGAAGTTCCTGCTGGGAAGTGTCTAGGGCAGTGCGGGTGCATGGAATGTACTTGTGATTGCAGATTTCTCTTATGGTGTGTGGTGCTCCGGGGCTGTATGTGCACACCTTGGGGAGGGTGGTCCTTTCTTGTTGATGAAAGGACAAGAGGATAGCCAATGAGTGGATGATTAGGGTCAGGATATTGAGCTGAGGGGCTCCAGCAGCTCCATCTAGTCATGGCTGCCAAAATTTGCCTGAGGATAAAGAATTGTGGGTGCACTTATTAAAGTATACAGATTCTTAGTCTTGATGCGTACATACAACTGCCAGGTCCAGGGTAGAGGCCTGAGAAGCTGTATTTTAGGGAAGCTTTCAGATGACTTTGTGGAGTGGTGACCCTGGAAGAGTTGGAGGGGCTTGCCCACAAGCAGGGCTATGCTGAGCAAGAAGCAGGTCATCAGGGCTCCTGAACCCAGCCTACATGCATGTTTCCAAGGTCTGAGCCACTCAGCTGGACCACCATCTGCTGGCTACTGGTCCTATTTTGTTCTGGCTGCTTCTCCCACAGATGGGCTCCTTTTTACCTTGCACCCTTCTGTGAGGTGACTGTGATACTCATGATCCTTTTCAAAGGTGGGAACTGGGCCTGAAATTACATCTGTGGCTTCTCAAGGAAGTCAGAACTTAGGGTTCCTACTCCTTGGATTGTCCCACAGTCAGCTCCCTGGTCAGGGATGCTGGGAGTCTTCACCTTCATGGGGTGCGGGGGTCTCTCCCTCTCTTCGCGGGTCATTGGCCACTGGTCCACGAGGGCAGGGGAAGCAGAAGCGGCGAACGGAGTCAGGACGGCCAGTGAGCACTGACGGAAGAAAGCCCTTCCGGGGAGGCTGGTCCCACGGTGCAGTGAAACAGCAGTGATACAGCTCCAGACTCAGTGAAACAGCTCCGTTTATTCTGTGGGAGAACTAGAGAAATTATAGTGTGGAGGCAGTAGCCAAAGCCTCAGCTGATAGGTGCTCATAGTATGCTTTATTTACATGTGGCAGTGGGCTCCTATCATCCGACTATCAGGCAATGCCTGATTATCATATAGAAAAAACCTGGGGGTAGTTTTTACTCCAGGTAACTATGCCAAAGGTCATGTTCCAAATAAGGTCAGGCATCCGTGCTTGGTGGCACTTTCCAGGTAAGCCAGGAAGAGAGCAGGAAGCCCCCTGCTGAGAAGGGGAGTCCTTCCATTTGGCGCCAAGCCCCTTAGGGCTATCCGGACATGGAGAACTACAACCCTAACAGCAGGGTTTCCCAACAATGGGGTACTCTGTGCTTGAGATTCCCAGAATCACAGAGAGGTTGGCATTTTAGGGGTGAATGAAGTCTCTTTTGAGGTTTTCTGTAATTGGCTTGACTTTCAAATGAACTGATTTTGTCTTTTTCAGCTTGCGAGATAATGGTATCTCTGATCGAGGTGCCTGCATGCTCGTTGAGCGTGCTGTTCACTGTGAGCAGCTGCAGAAGCTAGCGTGAGTTGGACTGGGCTGTGTCCACCAAAGCAGCTATGAGTGGGTGATGGGATGGCCAGGTGTGGCCTGGCTGGAGGATACAGGGTGGCTCCTAGGAGGAAAGGAAAGCACCCTGGGTTTGAGGGTTTGCTGGCCATGTGCTTTGTCTTCATGTCTCTTCTCTCCTGGAACCCAACAGTCTGTTTAACAACAAGCTCACCGATGGCTGTGCCCACGCCGTGTCCAAGCTCCTTGCACATAAGCAGAACTTCTTGGCACTGAGGTGAGCCCTGGGTTTCCCTCTTCTTCGAAACTGATGTTCCCCATAGTCAAGTCAAGTTGATCTGACCCCTGGTTGCATGAGGGGCAGCATCTCACTTTGAGCTGGGTTTCTCAGATCCCATGCTGTCCTCTGCACCTGCTCTTCTGAGGCTGAGCAGTCCCTGTCTTTTGGACCTTTTATTCCCAGGGTGAAGAGTTTCTAGGCTTCCCCTTTCTTGTGACTATTAGAATTGCAAGTTCTTTCTGATGCACACTGAGCGTGTCCTTCATGGGGAGTCCCACACCAGGCACTTGCTTGCCACTATGATTGTGATATCTATTTGCTGGAGTGCTTCCACAGAAGCTTCCTTTACCATTCAGAGCAGTCAAAATTTGAAATTCCATCTGGGAAGTCTGCAGTTCTGGTGTTCCTGCCCTCAACCCAAGTCTCTGTTTGATCAGAGACCAGCACATATACACCAAGCTCCCAGAAGAACCTGCTCTCTTCAGTCTCAGTCAGTCTCCCAGTCTCTCTCTTCTCTCTGTTTCTCTGTCTCTGTCTCTGTCTCTCTTCTCCCCCCTCTCGGTCTCTCTGTCCCTCTCTTTTTCTTTCCCTCCTTCCCTCCTTCCCTCTCTCCCTCCTCCTTCTCCTCTCTCTAGTGTCTCTCTTTTGGATATTGCCACCACTTGTGATTTGTGAAGCGGTAAAAGAAGAATTGCTTCCATCTTTCTTTCCACCCACTGAGTGGCCTTTGGGGATGAGAGATGTGCCATTTTAAAATCTGGCCACATAGCTCATCTCAGACAGGGGCAGGAACCAAGGCCACTGCCACCCGTTCCCCAGGCTCACCTGGTCCATTCAGCCAGGGAAATCTCTGGGTAGCACAGGCTGCAGGACTCAGAATTGGAGGCCTAGGTTTATGTTCAACATATCATAACTGAGAGCACGGGCTCTGGAGCTAGGTTGTCCTAGGTTCAAATGTAGGAACCCTGAGATTGGAATCCTTGTTAGCTGTATGACCTTGGGTCAGCCTAATGTCTCTGTACCCCCGTCTCTTTCCTTAAAATGAGATCATGCTTGCAGTTGTCTCAAAGGCTGCTGTGATGGAGTTAACATACATGAGGAGCTGGTGCAGTACAGTGCATGCTTTATATAGCCAGGTCCGGACTGAGGATTGTGGGTAAATTATGTAAACTTCCAGCTTGTGTGTCCATATGTTAGTTTGGTCCTCAGAGAAGGGACTAGATGAGTAGAAAATGCATTGTGAAATGCCCACAGTGGGGAGTGGGGAGGGAGCAATGGAGGCTGGAGACTGACTGTGTGAAAGATGGTAGAAGAAAGGAAGACTGGGAGGAAGCACTTGGGATTTGGGTACAGCTCAGAGAGAGTTCGTGAAGACACTGGGCTATCCTCAAGCCCTGTTTGCCCAGCAGAGGTCTGTGTTTTCTGTTGACTGGGGGCAGCCTGTGGGCAGCAGCCTTGGCATGAGGTCATCGTGTTGGATTTTGAGCACAGTTGCCAGTGCCCGTAGTTCCCTCTAGTTGAAAGTCTGAGAGGTATCTCTTGGTACCACACCTACCCTGTAAGATTGCTGTGAGCCAGAGCACCTTAAAGTGCCTTGAAAAGATGACATTGCATTGTATTTATTCCAGAAAGTTTGATTTGTGGGTGACATCTCTGAACTGTTGGAGGTGACTGGATTTGACTGTGCCTTCCTTGCCTGCTCATCTTTGCTCCTTGCTACTTTCCTGTGGCCCTGCCTCCCTCCCTCCTGCAGTGGGTGGTCTTGGTGTTGATAGAGAACACTCAGGATCCCTCCTTTCCTCAGCCTGTTGGGCCCCGACCCCTTCAGAGCAGGCATGTGCCACCTGTGTGTGGATCTGAAGTCACAGAGGAGGGGCTCACTGGAATTTAGACAGAATGTCTGAGACCAAGTGAAAAAGGTATGACAGTCTCTCAGGGAAACCAGGTCCCAGGCATGACTCCTTCCCAGACCTATATGGAAGTTCACATGGTAGGAGCCTTGGTGGGAATCAAGACTGAGCACTGCCGACCAGCATGCCACTGCTGTGTCCCAGGAGAGACCTGGTGCTAACTTTCAGCTTCTGTGTCTTCCTTCCAGACTGGGGAACAATCACATAACAGATGTTGGAGCCCAGGTGCTGGCCCAGGGGCTCAAGAGCAGCACCTCCCTGCAGTTCCTCGGGTAGGTTGGGTTCTGGGTTTAGAGGGCCTGTGGAGGAGTTTGGGGCTTTTAAGATTTAAGGGCTGGTGAGCCACTTTATCTGAAGAGCCCAGAGGCAGCCCAGGCTCCAGAGGAGAGGTTGAGCTAGGTGAGTGTGGATGGTGCTGGACTGCTTCCGGGCAGAGAAAGCTCATGGCATTGGGGTAGAGAGAAGGCTGTGTCGTGAACTGGGAATGAGCCATCTGGTCCTTAGGGGGTGCTCAAGAGTGGGCTTTGGCTGCACCTCGGAACACTTTCTGTTTCTAAAGAACACCAGGGATATAATGGCGATATCTAAGGGTATGTTTCTAGTTGGCAAGAATTGCTAATTTTAGAATCTGGGACTGAAGAAAGAGAGAATATTTGTAGGACCCAGATGTTACAGCCTATTGCTCTGCTCACAAGCTTAGTGTGAGCCAGGAAGAGGGGACTATGCTAATCTGGAGTTAGCATCCTCTCCAGTTCTGTTAGTAGCAGCAGAATCTACACGAAACAAGTCCTCGGTTCCATGAAGCTCTCTTTTGTTTGAGAGCTTACCTGCCACACCTGGGCATTTATGTCTTTTAAACATGGTTTTATTAAGGCACCTGTCTGGTCTTGGGACTGGATCAGGAACTGTGCTAAAACCCCAAACAATTAAAAAAAATTTAATTTTTAAAAAATATTTATTTATTAACCACATAATTGGAAGAAGCATTTCATTAAAACAGCATTGACATATTCAATCGCAATTTCCAGAGCCAAGATGCATCTCTTTCAAAATTGGCTGTAACTTTTTAGGTTTACAGTTGAATTAAAACATTTATACAATATTGTACTCTGTATAAACCCTATAATACATAAAATTGAATGAAGTTTTAAGCTTTAAAAAAGATCTCCATTTCATTATTAAAATATTCTGTTTCACACAGAAAAACTCATTTTTAATGCAACTAACATTTAGATGTTTGCACATGCATCTAATCTCTATATATCTGATTATTACTAGTATCATAGTTGGTTACTTTCTGAGATCTTTGGTACCCGAGTATGAATATAAAGTCATCAGGTAGATTTCAATGGTAATGTTTTTCATATCTACTAAGTAACATGAAGCAAATTTTTATGCTTCATCCTCAACAATAACTCATTTTTTATTTATTGATTTTTAAAATATTATTTTTATATTATGTGTATGAGTGTATTGTCTGCATGTATGTGAGTGAACCCATGTCATACAATGCTGTGGAGGTCAGAAGAGGGCTTCGGATTCCTCTGGAACTGAAGTTAAGGATGGTTTGTAGCCGCCATGTGGGTACTGGGAATCAAACCCCGGTCCTCTGCAAGAGTGGTCAGTGCTCTTAACCGCTGAGCCATTTTTTGTGTGTATTTCATATAGAACATCTCAAACAATCTTATTCATCTATGTACCCACATCCCAAGTGACACTTTCCCATCCCCCTGACCCCCGCTAGAGCCCATATACTCTGTCATCCCTGTTACTGTCCACTGTGTTGTCAGTGCCCCCAGCTGTTCCCCGGTGCTTGTCCATCTGCTGAGTCTAGTCAGCCTATGTATAGTTCCTTGTAAAACCCCAAACACTTTCATAGGATACAGACTCCTCTTTAACTCCCCTGCCCCTGGCTTCGTAATATAGTATAGGCGTCTTTTCATACCAGTATGTCCTTATTTTAAAATGAAGAGCTATAGAGACTCCACTACCACTAGTTGGATGGTCTTAGGTTTTTTTTTTGTTTTTTTTTTTTTTTTTTTTTTTTGTCTTTTTGGGACAGGGCCTCCCTATAGCCCCTGCTGTCCTGGAACTCACTATGTAGACCAGGCTGGCCACAAACTCACAGAGATCCACCTGTCTGTGCCTCCTGAGTGCTAGGATTAAAGGTGTGTGCCACCACACCCAGTGGTCTTAGTTTATTTTACAGTCAACTGTTGATGTGAGATTTGGGTGTTTTCAGGTTTTGTTTGTTTTTAAAATATTTTTATTATTTTTATTCTATGTATATGAGTGTATTGCCTGCATATGTAAGTGCACCCCTGTAGCACAGTGCCCATGGAGGTCAGATGTCAGATCCCCTGGAACTAGAGTTACCACCATGTGGTAACTGGTTGTTAGCCACCATGTAGGTGCTGGGAACTGGACTCAGGTCCTCTGCAAGAATAGTCAGTGCTCTTAAACCACTGAGCCATCTCTCCAGCCCCTATTTCTATTTTTTCCCATTACAATGTCCTGTCCCCAGAGCTGTATTTTACACAGCCACATCTCAGTCAATACTTCACTGAATGCATTGGTTACTTTTTGTAGCTGGTACTAAAATTCCTGACCTAGACAACATTAGGGAGGAAGTGTTTATTTTGGCTTATGGTTTCAGAGGGTTTGATTCATGGTTGCTTGGCCCTGTAAACTTTGGAAGACACCATGGTGGCAGTAACTTGTGGTAGAAAACAGTTATTCATTCGTGGTTGACCAGGAAGTAGAGACAGGACATAGGAAGAGACCAGAGCAATACATTGTCCCAAGGATACACTCCTACTTCCTCCAAGTAGATCACACCTCCTACTTTCTCCTTTTTCCACCTCCCAATAATGTCATCATACTCTAAATCCATCAAATGATTTTGTCATTGATTAGGGGAGACCCCTCTTATCATCTGATTGTCTCAGGACGCACCCTCATGGACACCCCCAAAGGTGGGCTTTATCTCTTACATATTTCTCAGTCCAATCAAGTTGACAGAACAATTTCACCTAGTGAATAAAAGTTCAGTGACAGCCCAGTGCAGCTGTCAGAAGGTGTGAACTGGGCCTAGGCTACAGTGTGTCAGAGGAGGATGACCTAGAAGGTAAAGGAGCTATAGGAACGGGGAATGGGGGTATTAAGAAGGAACAAGAGATGAAGAGTTGATTTGTTCAGGTAGAGTTCGAATTGTTCTGGGTATCTCCAAGGGTAGTTACAGACCTGTGGTGATAGCTACCTGGAAGCAAACCTGAACTAAGTGTATGAAAACAAATCCACCACCATGTGAATTTCTACTGAGGGTGAGTTCCCTGTCACTGAGGGTATGTGGTCCATGAGCTTCTGTGAAGTCTTAAATTTAAAGCCACTGAAAAGTCTGAGTGGAGTTTGGTCATCTCACCAAAGATTGTGGCAGACCTACTTTGCTGAGACCTCTCTGGGGTGGAGTAGCCCTGCAGAAGCATGGTAGCACTTGTCCTGAATACACACTGTTGGTTTCTCAGGTTTTGGGGCAACAGCGTGGGTGACAAGGGTGCCCAGGCCCTGGCTGAAGCTGTGGCTGATCACCAGAGCTTGAAGTGGCTCAGGTAAGCTTCAGGGTTTGTCCTGCCTTTATTTTAGGCGGAGCCAGGTGGTTGGGCCAGTTTTGGAGGCTGTTGAACTTTGTGTGTTCTCCCTTATGTTAGGCAGTAGTATAAGAAAGACATTGGGTTTGGGATCAGGCAACCCGAAGCTTTCTTGGTGAATTTGGAGGCGATTCTCTCCCTTTTAGAATCCTAATTCCCTGTCTTTAAATTGAAGATTGTGAGTTGAGCCAGTCACATTTTTTTTTTTTTTTAATCTTAAGAACCAGTTCTATTCTAGTGATAATGGCTGGCCAGAGTATCATGTTGGGAAGGATTTGAAGGTTGCTTTTGGGCTTAAGGAGCACTATAATCAATTAATAATGCCTGAAATTAAGGACACTGGGACAGTGTGCCATGTCTTTGCCCTTCATAGGTTAGTTTGTGTCTGAGGTTCTTCTCTGTTTTGTCTTTATTCCATGGTTACGTCCAGCCTTGTAGGGAACGGCATTGGCAGTGTGGGTGCCCAGGCCCTTGCACTGATGTTGGAGAAGAACAAGTCACTAGAGGAACTCTGGTAAGTTGGGAGGGTGGTCCCCTGATCCAGGGACGCAGTTACTTGGTCTCTTCTATAGGGAGATTGTATGGGTAAGACAAAACTGAATGACTTGAGTGACTGATTGATTGGGGCTTTTTATATACTGAGTGGTGGAAAGCTTGCAGAGCCTGGTGCCACTGCTAATTCTTTTAAAGTGTATCTGTTGGCTTGCTGGCTGCTTATTGCCCATACACGGCATAATTGTGAAGGCCACAGACCCTGGAATCAAGCAGGTTGAGATCTTAGGCAAGTTAACAAAAATCCCAGATTTCATCTGTAAAATGAGAGCAAGAATGCTTCTAGCTGCAGAGAAGTTTTTAAAACTTAAGGAAGGTTTCCAAGTGTGGTAGTGCATGCTTTTAATCCCAGCACTTGGGAGGCACAGGCAGGCAGATCTCTGTGAGTTTGAGGCCAGCCTGGTCTACATAGTGAGTTCCAGGCTAGCTGGGGCTACAGGGAGACCCTGTCTCAAAAAAGATAAAAACGAACAAACAAAACAAACAAACAAGAAAACCTCAAGGAAAGTAGTGCTTGTAGAGAGCTTAATACAGCGTCTGCCATGTAAGCTCTCCATAAATGTTAAGGCATTGCAGTGGGGAGTCACTGCCACTGCCTTAGCCACCACAACCGCAGCTCCTGGTAGCACCACGAGTACTGCTCATGAAGTGTAGTTATTTCAAAATGAGTTTGAGTTTCCAAGACCACTGGGTACTAGAATCAAGGATCACCTTGGAAGGGGAAGGGAGTTTGGAGTTATTGAACTGTGCTTGTGCCACCGACCTGAAGCAGGTCCCAAGTCTCTCAGTCCTGGAGACATTGGAGACATTGCCATGAGTCCAATTCCAGAGCTGCCTGGAATTTGCAGCTCCAGATAGAGTAATGAGGGAAGATGCCAAAAGGTTTCTCCAGAAAGCAGAAAGGCGTCGACACCCAGAGCATTGCCAGACATACTGTGGAGGGGCCTTGGCTGTTGCCAGGGCCCACCAGCTTTGTGGAAGTACCACTGCTCATGTCCTGACTGGAGTTTACCCTAGCATTTCTTGGTAGAGGAGCACCTCACGTGAGGTTCAGCCAACCCTGGTTGCAGTGGACAGCAGAAATGTTATTTTTCACCCAGCACATAGTTTCCCATAACAAAATGAGGTTTCCACTTAATATAGGAAAGAAAGGGTCATGGATATTGGATAGCTGAGCACGAGGGAACTTTTTATATAGAAGCACCTAGCAAAGCTATCCCCAGAGTTAAATCTTTTCACCCTTCCTTTGTCTGTTCTTACTCTTGATGCATGTTGGGATTTTCTAAGTGGGGGAAGGGTCATGGGTTAATCTTTACGGACATCCTTTACCACAGTCAGCGTCACCAGGACAGCTCAATCTCTCTGTTCTTGCAGCCTGGAGGAGAACCACGTCTATGATGAAGGAGTGTGTTCTCTCGCAGAAGGACTGAAGAGAAACTCAAGTTTGAAAGTCCTGAAGTAAGGGACCCATGAGCAGGAGCTGGGAGGGTGATGCCTAGCCTCAGGAAAGCAGGCAGTGGGCTGTCCCAGGAGCCCCACCGAGGTGCCTAGTGGGAGCTGTCTGGGAAGATGAGGGTGCTAGTGCTCATTGCTTACCTGACAAGCTGGCATCATTGCTGGGAGAAAAGTTCAGTCTGGCAGGAAGGAATGGGTGACCAGGAGAGAGAGGATCCTGGCTCAGTTATCACAAGGGAAATTAGATCTCATGTTGCTGGGGCCTCCAGGAGCTGGCAGAGCATGCTCACCTGGCGCCTATCCAACCAAGGGATAGGGTAGCAGGGGTGTTTATACTCAAGTACCTGCTCTTCCTGCTGGAGCTGTGTCTGTGAGGGTGTCAGTTCTCTGCTGTTCCAGCTTTCCTCTATAGGCTAGGCCCACTCAGGTCAGCAGAGTGGCAGATCTCCTCAGGCAACTCTCAGAATTGGGGATGCAAGTTGAGGAAGCATGGATGGGCAGGTTGCTGACTGCATTTGCCACTGACTCACAAGGTGTCCTCCCTCCTCCAGACTGTTTGCTGCTCAGGCAGAAGGACTGTTTGAACCGTTATCTGCAGTGGTGTTCCTCAGAGTGGTTTGAGTGCTGGTGTTTGTTAATGTGTGTGTTCATTTATTGATTGGACAAATGTTCAGACACTCATCTATGCATTCAGACAAGTGTTTTTGTGCTGCCACTCTGTGCCATGCACTGAGGGTAGAGTGGCGTAAAGGACAGAGCAGGCTCCCATTCCTCCAGCTCTTACATTCTCATAGAGGAGACAAATGGTGAACAAAAGAGATTTCTGGTTAAAGGAGATGTGGCAGGGTTGCTGCCATCTGGGCGAGGTCTGTCTCAGAAGGTGGCATTTGAATTGAAATCTGAACAACTAAAAGGTGCCCACCACACTGACTGAAGTCTCAGAAAGGAACATCGGGTGGTTGGAATAGCAAGTGCGAAGGCCCTGAGGCACAAACAAGCCTGGTGACTTTGAGAATAGAGAGAGACCTGGGCAGTGGGGTGAGAAGAGATAGGAGAGTAGTCAGTGTAGCCTCTGAGTCGTGATCAGGATTTGGGGTTTTACTGGGAGGACTTTGGAGGGTTTTAATCAAGGCAGTCCTGGAATTTGCTGTATATCATAGATGGTAATTCTTGATGCTTCATGCTAAAGCAGGGGCCAAAGGTGGGTGGAAGCTGGGAGGTGGGTGCACTTTTCCAGGTGGAAGAGGAGGTAGCTTGAGAGAGGTAGAAGGGACAGAAGCTTGTAGATATGTAGGCCTAAAAGCTGGAGAGCTGGACAGTAGCAGGAGCTAGGGGAGCTACAGGGACATGCTGTGGCTCCCTCTGGGGATGAACTCACTGGCTACGAACCTCCACCACAAGGAGAGGGAAACAGATATGAGCTAAAATCTGCACAGTGACCATCACAGGCTTGTGTTGACACTCACTACATGGAGACCTCAGAGCACCTCATGGCTCCTGATGGAGGAAGGTAACATCTTGACTGGAAAGTGTCACCAGAGCATCACTCTTACCTTAGAGACGGGCAGGCAGCTGCCTCTGGGCACATCAGCCCCACTGCTAGATTGCTCTCTGGCCTGCTGGTGGCATATGCATTTCTCTCAGGAGCCAGGAAGCCACCAATGTTCAGGGAAAATACTTCCACATATACCACTTGATGCACATGGATCAGAGGGATGGGTAAGGCCTGGATTATCCAAGCTAAGACACTGGAGACACTGGTACATCATTGATCATGTGTAGATGTAGCATATTTGTTCTTTGTCACTGTCACAGACTTGATCCTAAAGGATGCAGTAGTGGGGCGGGGGGCAGCCTGTGCTCCCTGTTCCCAGACTGGACTATTCAGCATCCTGAATAATAACAACAGTATCATCTTGGTTTTCTCATAAAACATAAGCTGCTGATATGTATGGGGGGAGAAGGGGAGAGGAGAGAAAGGGAGGGAAGAATGGAGGGAAGGAGGGAGGAGAGAGAGAGAGAGAGAGAGAGAGAGAGAGAGAGAGAGAGAGAGAGAGAGAGAGAGAGAATAAAAGGTGTGAAAAAAA